GTACCACAAATCACAATGTTCTCAAATTAAGAAATTTAGTATTTCATGAAAATGTACAGATTTGTAAAAATTAGTACAAAACTTTACTAGTTTTAAAAGTAATGTCCACTGGGCATTAGTGGGCATTGGTGTACAAGATTTTGGTCGGCGGTTTCCCCCTTGTAGTACCACAAATCACAATGTTCTCAAATCAAGAAATTATTGCAAGTAGTGTTTCGTGAAAATGTACAGTTTTGTAAAAATTAGTATGAGATAGTAGGTTGTCAACGTCCAAATTCAATGACGGATCTAACAATCAATTTTTCGCTAAACAGATTTTACTCCAAGGGCAATAAATTCATGGTGGAACCAACAGATGATGCCTATTAATTTCGTAGAAACTCCGCTATCTTATATTAGGAGCCTGTCTCATAATATGGGATTTTCCTCTACGTGGAAAATGTATACGCGTTCTATCGGTGCCGAAATTCCTATGGGAAGGTATCAGTGATTTCTGGTGCACACATTTGAATAGAGCGATTTTTAATACAAAAAATATGTGCGTGTGTGTATGTACGTACGCAAAAGAAAAAGTTTCTCACTCACATACACATAAATGCACTCGGCACACAAGAATAACGTTCGATAAATGATTTACGTTAGATAAATGAGAAACGAAGTTTGTCTTCTGCGTCCTTCGCAGCAATCCATAATGTATGCGAGGGAAATTAGTGTAAATCAGAATAATCCGTTCTTTGATTCATTACTCGGACACTGAGAGATTAATCCTGCAGGGTCTTAGGGTCTTAGTGTCTAAGGAGTAGGGGGATTATGTACTTCTCGATTGTCCTTATCGCGATTGTCCTCGTCCAAAAGCCCGGCGAGTAAAGAGAGCAGCAAAATCGCCGAGTTGATATCGATATATCGATGACGCTCAATGATCGAATGACGAGTCAATAGCCCCTTAATTTTTAAAAAGACAATGGAACGGGAGCTGCTTTCGCAATCGAAAGTTAATACGGTTTTTCGAGGACAATTTCTGAATAGAGAATTCGATTTCCGAAACAAATTCTCCATTTTGACGAACAGCAAACGTAGATACAATATTTAGGATATCCTTGATTAAAACGGCAAGTTATAATCAAAATTAGGTTTTCAATGTGTACTGCTATAAATTTTTATCGAATTAATTCGAATTAGTTTGATTGTCAAAACCATCATGTCTCAAAGAGCTTTTAACGTCCCGCGGTTATCCAAGAATCTTCGAGTCTGTTGTCTCGAGTTGATGTTTAGTGAAATTCTCTTTGAAAAACTTCAAAAAATATATTTTTATATTCAATCTCTATACCTATCTCTGCTAATCCAGCTGTAAAACGCTGTTAAACGAAGATTTCGGAATTTCTTAAGGTTCTTGCTTATAGCACGAAGTTTCGCTTATTCTTGTTCTTGAGATTCGATGCGTGAGAAGTATTTCGTTATCACTCAATTATTATATGTGTACACTAACTTCGAGAGATTAGCGATACTCTAATAAGCCGGCGAAAAAGAAATGAATCCATTGCAATTTTTTTCCCCGCGTAAAATGCGTAGACTTGGACGAGGCCATGCAAGTTATATTACTTTGTATGTACAGTACGCTGCGTTAATTCGGTTCGGCTAATAATTAGGGATGGACAAAAATTACTTGATTATTTAAACATAGACGCCCTTTGACAATACGACCCGAAGCAAATGAATGCACCGCGCTGTACATTTATACATGTATATATATTTCTGATTTGTGCGTATGGCTGCATAGATGTCATCTCTGGAGCATCCGCGAGTTTACATAAGTTCATAAACGTACATTAGAAATTCGTTAAAGGATGCGTTTGCTCCTCCATCATAAATTTTAAGTTCGCCATGAGAAGCCCGTTGAAACGCCGCTCGTCGCGTTGAAAGCATTAAATTTTCCTGCTGCGTCAAGCGGCTTTCAAACATTTTTATCGCTCTCCGCTGGTCTTCATAATTCTCGCGTTTCCTCCCTTCCCCCCTCCCCTTTCCCCTCCTCCCTTCTTCGGTAGTTTAAATTCCCGTCTCACGCGGTTCGTACCGTGCTTTTTCGACCGGCGCGCTGGGCTGTTGCGCAGAGCTGTGTATCTTCGGCCCGCATCCAGCCGTTGGTGAACGCGTCACGCGAACGCACCGTAGGCTCACCCAGTTTGCATCCCGAAATTCGATTCCAGGAAGAAACGCGCGCCTGTTCGCATTTTCGAGCGCAATTAGCATTTTCGGAACGTCCGTCCCTCTAATTAACCGCGTCGTGCAGTTTGCATATCTCTCTCTCGCTCTCTGTCGCTCTCTGTCTTTTTCTACGAGACGTCACGTTGTCAAGCGACGAATTATGTTGCGATTTTCAAATTGTTAAATCGCTCTGTAACACAGAGAAACGGCGAAAAACGTTGCCCGCCGCGCTGAGTAAAGTACTTGCGACCGTAGCTCTCGTGATCATCTACCAAATGGCAGACATGCACATTTCAAATACCACCGCTAGATAGTATTTTCATCTTTCTCTCCGTCTTATCGTGTCTCTCGATTCTTGTCGGAAATGTATATGCAATATTTTCCGTTGTGCGTTACCGAGCCGCGATGTATCTAGAAGAAGCACGACAAGGGCATCATTTAAAAACCAATATTGGCAACACGAAATATTGACAAACTTTAGATGTTATCTTGGCGTCTTCCGTAAACGGAAACTCGACAGATAACGATTCGGGCGATTTCTCTTTCCGTCAAGTGTACGCATAGATAGTATTTTTTTTTTGGCTCGTTCACGTCATTCTACAATCGCGCGATCAATTGTGCTATCTTCCAAGTCATTGTCGCCGGAGTCTCCAAGTGTTCAGTGGATACTTCGTTCTACATTGAGTATTTATGCACGAATCTTGCCGTCTGAATTTGTAGCGTAAGAATTCGCTGTCGTGTTAAGCCAACGCCACACTATATATTTTATCCTATTTTATCTCTATAATGCCCCAGCAAGACCTAATGCCCAACCTAATGCCCAAAAATGCCCTCGTAATGTCCAGTAGTGCCGCAAATCTGTACACCACAATGCTCTCGGCGGTTTCCCCCACGGCCGCCTGCTTTACGCGTTCGTATTGATAAACGCGTTGCAAACATATGTATCTATTTCTTCGCGCGAATGAATCGCCCGATATTAATTTCATATATAATATTTTGTACTCATTTCGAACGTACTTGATATCGGGCACGGTAAATTTCAGTATCGGTCGCGAGTAAATAAACAGAGCCAATGTCCATTAATTAATATCTAAATAATATCTCATATGCTTGTGATAATCTATACATGTTGCGAATGTGCGATCTAGAAAAACAAATATTATTTTTCGCTACACGATGTATGATTTATTATTCTCATTCATTACATTTCATTGTTATTACGCATTCAGTGCAAACTACTTACGCGCACAGAATATTTTTAATCCCGAGTCCGATAAAGGGGTTCCAGAGGGGTTCCAGTAGGGTGTACAGGCGGGTTCTGGACCAGGAGCTCCGAGGGGGAGAGGGTGAGGGGGTCGCGTGATCATGACGTCACGCGGTCCTAACCATAGACATAATATATCTAGACCGAGCGTTTGCCTTTATTTGAGCAATGGAAGTAGAGGTTCACGTAGAAAAGGGCAGACTCCGTTTTGTGCAATTTCGTTCTTTCTCGTTCGCAAGGCGAACCTCAACCCCCACTGATCAATGCTCGGTCTAGATATATTAGGTCTACGGTCCTAACCCTCCCCTGGGAGGGGAGGACGGTCCCAACCCTCCCTCTCCGTGCAAGGTTAGGGCCACATTGATCACACTCCGTGTGACTGGTCTATTTCCTCATGTGCGCACTCGTGGTCCAATCAGATTCCTTACACGGAAAGACCGGCTAAGGCAAAAATGACTAAAATTAAAATGTTGCCGTATAAATAGTAGGGGCATCTACATTGCTTTGTGTTGCAACATTCGCCAAGTTTGCTGCACAAATTGCACACACTTGTCTCCACTACTTGTCATACCAATGTGGGTCTGGCAACCACATATAGCTGTCCCAAATATTACTATTTATTGGGGTTGTGTCAACCCTAATTAGACATGTGGTAACCATATTGGTCTCTCCGTGCACGATAGGTGCACGGAAAGACCGGCTAAGGCAAAAATAACTAAAATTAAAATGTTGCCGTATAAATAGTGGAGGCATCTACATTGTTTTGTGTTGCAACGTTTACCAAGTTTGCTGCACAAGGCGCATGTGGTTGTCTCCACTACTTATAGGTATGACAACCACACAGATATAGCTGTCCCAAATATTACTATTTATTGGGGTTGTGCCAACCATATCGGTCTCTCCGTGTGGTATCCGGGAATCAACATTAAGACTGTTTATTGCGGTGAATATTTCCATATGCCTCGGTGGTCGTATCGGTTGAAACGCCCGCCTAGTGAGAGGGTGGTACGAACCCTGGCTGCGGTAATATTTCTCGCAATAAATTTACTATGTGAAATATTTAGACTAGCTTTCAGGCTAAAGCCCGTATCAGACTACGGATTGGGATTGGGATTAGATTGAAATTTAACCAATCGCAGTAAAGTTTACTAATCTCAAGTTCAGTAACTTTTACTCTGATTGGTCAAATTTCAATCTAATCCCAATCCCAATCCGTAGTCTGATACGGGCTTAACACCCTGTCGCGGCTCTCAGTCCTTTATTTCTTCAAATTTATGTTTATCGCATTTGAGTCATACGAATTTCATTAATTTCAGATAGGAATCTTATTGCGAAAACCGGTCACTATATTCGAGGTAACGGAATGCTTGTTTCTAATGTAAAAAGGAAGGCATGTAACGCGTGGAATTGTATCTGCGGAGAGTCGTGCTTCGCATTATACTTGGGATGAAGTTGGCGCAGAATTTCGTTTCTAACGTTTCGCGAAATTTGCCCCGACGGTGAGGCAAGAGTTTCGAAGCCGGTTCCGCACTGCGGCCAATTGCGCCTCGAATTCGCTTCACTTTTAACGAACTTGATCGCGCGCATTATGCCCTCGCGCATCGCTCGCTCTTTTATTTTTCCGCGCAACAAGTGAGTGTTGCGTCGACGTTTTCTTTTCCGCCACGTAAACCGGTTACTTTCCCCCTATTTGCCCCTCCGCCCTCCCGTCGTTTCGTCATGTATGCTCGCACTAACAAAACGTCGAATTTTGCTTGCAGCCCCAGACGACGGGTAATGGCGAGCGAGTGCCGCAGCTGCGTCCCGTCCTCCTGAATCTCGTCGCGACGTCAACGAACGTGGGAACGACGGGCCCGGGGCGTCGATGAAGCATCCGCGGGACCGACGCGGGGCCGTCGCACTAATTTCGAAGACGCTCCTCTGCCGGCAGAGATTTCCCGGTGGCGGAAATCGCGCGGCATAATCCTTCCCCTTCCGCGTCGTGGCCCGTCCGCGGCGTACGGGAAGCAATCTCTCGGTCGCGCGACTCCAGAGACCGGGGAACTCCGGGCGCACAGTCGGCGCGGAGCCTCGTTATCTCTTCCGGTCTCCAGATTTTCCGCAGACCCGAGCGTCGGGAATGACTTTTCCGCGCGCGCGCGATACGTCGTCAGTGAGACCGGTGGTGCGTGAAGGCGCCAAGTGATAGCCGAGGAAACGGCGAACGACCGGCGGCGGGAGGTCGCGAGATCGGCCGTATGCGTCGATCGCCCGCCGGGATCACTCGCGGTCGTTGAATCCAAGTCAAGGACGCGGGTGAGCGTCGCGGGGGGGCAGCCCGTGGACACGGGTGGGCGGACTCGAGGTCCCCGCCAGGACTCGCCGGAGGACTCGCGCGTTACACGCAACAGGATTCAAAGTGCGGTGCCCCGGCCTCAGTGAGATGGCCTTCATGATGAAGAAGAAAAAGTACAAATTCTCGGTGGAGGTCGACCTCGAGGAGCTCACGGCGGTGCCGTTCGTCAGTGCTGTGCTCTTCGCCAAGCTGAGGCTCCTGGACGGCGGTTCTTTCGTCGATCATTCCACCAGGTGAGTGTTGCACCTCGCCAGGACACTGCACCGTGATAGCGAATTCGGTTGTTTGCGCTAGAGCGCACTCAACGCTTGTCTACGGTCAATTCTTATATTTGGGGATCGTTTTGAGTATCGTTTGGTGTACTTGTTATCCAGAAAAATCATCCGTGTACCATCCGTACGGATCATTCTTTTTTTGTTAAATAGTTTTGGAACATGTATTTAACCCTCAGTTTCTTTTAACTGCATTGTTTAATTAAATTAACGATATATTGAGTAGGAACGGTGGCGACTACTCATCGAGTTAAATTTAATTTTAACAGCGTGCACGTTGGATTAATGGATGGCGAATTATAGTGGCGAGGTACTATTTTATAAACTTAATCGGTCGCCATACGCCACGGATTATGGTGATTTTGCGTTCCCACCGCGGTATGCTATGAAAGGATTATAATAATCGAGACTGATTTTATTAAGGTACGTTGAGCTCGAAGCTGCGAATTAATAGTAAAATCAATGAATCGTGTTAACGTGTCGGTTTAACGTCGCCTTTTTGTTTTATGGCACCGAACGCACCGTGTAAACTCTATATTTAACGTATATCCACGTGCGAAATAATTTATTGTTTAATACCTTACGGTGTAATGCACAATTTTCGATATATTTCCATATTGTTATATAGATGGGAAATAATATGCTGTTTTAAGAATCTAACAAGATGATTTTTTTAAAAAAGGCACAAAAAAGCCAAGTATACGCGTAGAAAGAACAAACATAGAACGAGCAAAATTTTGGTTAAAAAAGTATATGCTGTTTTAGGAATAAAAACACTTTTATTATACAAATCGTACCCAAGCTATCGATTAAGCGCAGTCTCAAGTTCGTCGGATCAGCCGTTGTTGAGATCCGAAATTCTGAGGGCCCGTCAACTCGCGTACTCGCGTAAACTACACGGTCGGCGTCGCGCGCGTGGTTTAGTTTGTCGCTTATACTTATTGTTAGTCGCTTATACTTGGCGCGAGACACTACCGTGTCTCGTGATACGTCGCTTACACGTGACGTCCCGCGAGAATGCGGCATTATTAATTTGTCGTTATTAGTTAGTATTTACAACGCGTGATGTTTAGCGTTTAATGTTTCATTATTTATATTTAGCGAGCGTTAATCTAGCGGAATCACGTTTCCCCGCCTGTAACGTTGCGGTAAACACAGCGTTGGCGTTTTATCTTGAAAAATGGTTATGACGATTATCAAGATTTACGTCGTCGTCCATAGAACTCGGGGGCTTTCCAGAAATAGATCCCCGACGGAAATAAAGACTTTGAGCTCTATGCCCGGCGTGGTGAACTTTGCATTTTTGCGCTATATAATAACACGTCACGTTTCTATGCACTCGGGAATGCGGTTCTCGGTACACGCTTATTTCACCTCGTTATCCGGCATTGTACGAGTTCCGTTAACTTTCGGATTTTTCATTAATATCGATTAGTCTCACTCGTTGCTCGAATAAATGAATTGCTTCCAGTCGGCTACAGCGCGGACGCGCAGTAAATTTAATGTACATTCTGAAAGAGCGACCGAGAGTTGTGTAAAAAAATTTGCTCTTTTTACGTTGATTCGAAAACGTAATGCACTACAAGTGTTCGGGAGCGGTCGAAGCACGCGTGTATAATTTGATATAATTATAACACTTGCTTGTCATACTGGATCAAAATGACTCAGACTGTGACTTTGATGCAAGATTTTTTTAGTATGCTTAAAACAGGTTCTGCTAGCACCATTAGTGGTACTTTTTATATTTATTTATCATTTTTTTCAAAATTGTCTTAATTTTGTTTTATCATCATCCTACTTAAAATATTTTTTTAAATCATAAAAATATATTTTTCAGTGTTTCAAGTTGATTGCACAATTTTTTCAAATACAATTAATAGTTTTTAAACAGCAGCTCTCATTGAAAATTGGCTTGGGTCAAATTGATCCAGTGACTTCGACAGACTCGAAAAAGGTGTGACAACCAAGTGTCAATACATTTATGGGCTATTAGCCCCACAAGACTGAAATTCGCAAATTGCTCTACAGTTTCTTTCGAGATCTGTGTACCTTTTCGAGTGACTATCCATCGATACATTTCTCTTTTCTACTCTCTTGGGAATTTTTATTACAAATTAATACAATTCGTATGGCTCTCGCTGGGCGGGCGTCTCAACCAATTGGACCACCGAGGCTTATCAAAATATTCATCGCAATGAACAGTCTAATGTTGGTTCCCGAATGCCATGTGTCGCGACAGTATTCGAAAACGAGAAGTGCGCGCCGACTTAAATCGTCAGTCTTAAAACACAGTACACAGTTTTTATTACGTTTCACCTTGTCTCCAAAGGCGACTCGCCGTATCTCAGCAATCGGGAGAAAAGCGCGGGCTATATACTCCCGAGCTGAAAATTTTATTCCCGGCGATGACGCGGAAACGCGCACGTTAGGCTTCTCCGATGGCGAGACGCCGCAAGACGCTTGTATGGAATTTGCGAGCGTATAATGGCCCGCCGTAGTCCAGAGACCTATATTTAGCGCGGCGCGCACAGTTTGCTTTTTCTGATGAACCATTAAAACTTCGTTGAACCAAGCCGGAAGCTCGTTCGGCTTTGGATAGTCCCCAACTCGGAGACTGTTCGAGCTTTAGGGCGCTTAAGCACGATCTTACGCGGGGCTAGAGAGCGTGTGTTGTTAGTAAAACGGATATACATAGTCATACGAAACTGTTGTCTGAATTGTCGTGTACATATTGTTTTTCGGAAGGGTACATCTAGGAAGGGTGCTGTTGATTTTCCTGAATTTAATTGAAATTAAAGAGAGCGTATTTTAATAATGTAGGATGTAGGTTGGGTTGGAAAATGAATCACACGTCTAGGGGTATCTTAAATTGTTCACATATATCGCACAATTATACGTCTTGATCGCTCGGAGTCTCGACTACTTCTGTCGCGATCTTTTGATCGCCAGAAATCGCTCGTCATCTCTTTTCCCTATCTCCAGATATTTTTGTCGCGAACCTAAGCCTGCACTGAAAAAAAAATCTGGTAGCTTCAACCAGTCGTCTGTTAGAAAATGGACGAATCAGAATTCCCTTTAGGATTTACCAGATTTGTAGTAAAGTCTACCAAACTTCTGGTTATGAAATATCTTTCATGGTAAATCCTAAAGGAATTCTGGTAAATCCTAAAGGGAATTCTGATTCGTCCATTTTCTAACAGACGTCTGGTTGAATCTAACAGATTTTTTTTTCAGTGTGGACAAACAGATAGGACCAACGACCGCTTGTCTACCTAATCTAAACACCTATATGTTGTAAATAAGGTCGTGAGCGAGCGTTACATATTCTAGATTTCCTACAGTAAATATTGACCCTGATTATCACACAGCACTAGACTACCGTGGTTGATTAATTAAATTATGACGAAAACCTCGCAAACTAATTAGCAAGAATTTATAAGATAATGTAAGTGTCAAACTTATATCTGTCGAATCTTTATTACGTAACTGTATCGAGGATCAGTTGTATTAGTACGAGGGTGGGTTGAAAAGCTTGGAGCCTAACATGGAAACAATTTTTTTTTCGGTCAAACTCACTTTTATTTTTCGACATGGTCTCCTTTTGAGTCGATACACTTGATCCAGCGATGCTCCAACTCGCTTTAACCAAATAATAGTTGGCGTATTGCTCTGCGAAATAGGCAGCTATGGATGCTATGACCTCCTCGTACGATGAAAATTTCTGTCGTCCAAGCCGAACTTGAGTTTAGGAAATAGAAAAAGTCACTGGAGGCTAGATCTAGTAAATGGATGGGGGTGGTCAATCAGTTCGAACTACAAATTCGTGAATTTTGGCCCCATATTCGATTGTTTCCATGTTTACGAAAATACTAACATTCACTGACACGAACGACTGTCGTACAACAACTGAGAGTCCAATCTGGCTGAAATTTTCAGAGGTATCCTTCAAAGCGTGTACAGTCGCAGTACTGAAGCGGCGACGACAAGTAATGCTTCATGTTCACGTTGAAACTCAAAACTTTACAACCCACCCTCGTGTGATAATAGCGATTTCAAATAATACAATTATTCGACAAACGCGCGCCGCGGTACAGTATAATATAAGCGCTTCCTCGCGAGGTACGTAATTTATGTTGACAATGACAATGCAGCGCGGTAAAGTTACGTAAATCCGGTACATTTGGATTTGTCGAGACAGACGTGCGTTAGATAAACGGCCGCACGTTTGTTACCCGCCGAAACGATCTGCAGCACGTTCGAGATCGTTCATTTACGTTTCCGCAGCTTGTGTTTACACGTTTACGCTAACATTCCGATTGCGATTGAACGGGCGCCAGCAGCGCGCCTCGCGTGACTGTACATCGCGTCGCTGCTTCAACCACTTTCCGCTATTATTTTCGCCTCTTGCTGCCTGCTTATTAAACGCGCATGAACGTAAAAGATTTCTCGGAACAATGCTCCCGCGGCCCGAGCTCTCTTTTTCTATTAATAACGACGAACGCTTCTGGAGCAAAACTCCCGTCGAGTTGATCGCGATCCGAGCCACTTGAAATCGACGCCGGAGAGCAAAGTACAGGGTGTTCCAGGAAGAGAGGTCAATATTCTGGGAGGTAATAGTATTGGTCATTTTAAGCAAAAATGCTCGTATGAATCTATGTCCGATTCCCCACTGTTTCCGAGATAGAGCTACTTGAGTGTCTCGTGCATTTACTTTTTGTCTCTACACTTCCACCCTTCGTCCAACCTCATAAACGTCCGCGGGAATTTACTCTTACACGCCTGTTGACTGTTGTGCCGATAACATTGTAGAAATGTTAAAAACGCCTCGCACATTCGCAAATGTCGAATATGCAGATATGCTGTATGTTTATACGGTTTCTGTGACGGTAGTGCTGCTGCTGCTGCTGCTGCTGCTGCTGCTGTTGAAGAATACCGTCGACGCTTTCCCGCACGCAGAATTC